AACACTATTTGAGAAACCTCGAAGTCAATATCGAAAAAATAATTATTAAATTTAGATACAAGAGAGGGAAAAAAGATACTCAAAACATTAGTTTGCACACAGGTCAAAAAGCGGCCAATCATAACTCCCACGTAATTTTAGAGGGTATTTGGATAGAAACGAAATAATAATTTTAAAACTAATTTTATGGTATATGAAATAAATATATGAAAAGACTTACCTCAACTTAGAAAACAGTACTTTTTAAAGCACTTCTATGATTTTCCAAAGAACCCCTTAGATTCACACGAGAAAGATTATTACCTGGTTTGAAGATCTTAATGGTTTTCTTGAAAACTGACCTTGGCACGAATAGTTGGTCTGAACTAGGAACTTGTTTTTTTTAAATCTTTGTTCCACTCCTAGAAAGAAGGGTCTGAGATAGTTTATAAACAGCTTTCAATCATAATTTATAAAATATAAGATAAGTATATATGTAACAAGAATTGTCTCGATTTCCGTAAAATATGCCTATAAGTTGTTTTAAACATGATGACAAATAGGTACTTAATCTCTTCTCAAAGCTCGTATTTTTATTTTCAACTATATTTATTGAAGCATACCGCAAAAATATTAATTAATTTAAAATTTTATCATATCCCTTCTTTAAAATCAAAAGTATCCACAGTAGGCCCCTTTTTTTTTTTTCCCCAATTGTATATAGGTGTTTGGTTTCATACAGACACATATAAATTGTTTCTTGGCCTACAAATATATATTGGAAACTATTTAAACCATAATTTTCCTGAAAGCAGCAGTAGTAATAAAAGAGTAACAAATATGAAATATTCTTAATTATTCCATCCGTCTCTTTTTTTATAAGCAACATTGAACTCAATCATATAGATAAAAACAATAAATGTGTAAAAATTAAAAAAAAATTTCTCTAAAATACCCTTATTTATGGGAGGAGAATATGAGAAAGAGAATAAAAAATTATTATAATAAAACGAATTATAAAAGAGAGAGATGATTGTTTGACAAATGAGATTATATTTAAAGACAAGAAAAAAATGATAGTTGTTACTTATAAAACGAGAGGAAGGGAATAATTAAGATCCCTCCAATACCCAATACCTGAAAGCTAGTTCTAAGCTAGCTACAAACATGCACGCACGCACGCACAAACCAACATGCGCGCACACACACGCTCATTTGATCTTATTTATAAATCATTTCCAACATATTACACACAGATTAAAGAAAACATTAAACTTCATTAACTCTCATTTAAATTTTAATAACTTTCTAACTTTATCCCTATTTAATATACATTAAACCTTGTATAAATAAAGTTAACACAATAATAAATGAAGGATAAAATTATACATCCATGAAAAAAATTCTCTCAGTGTTTATAAATAGGACCAAAAAATGTTTTCTATTTCTGCTTTATAAATAGAACCAGAGGAATATATAGATCTAATTAGAAATTGTAAAAAAGCTGTAAACTAAAAACTAAGGTTAATATAATTTTTGGTTTCTCAAGTTTGCCCTCATTTTGGTTTTGGTCCGTTAAATTTAAAACCATAAGTTTTGGTCCCTCAAGAGGCAAAATGATCCAAGTTTTTATTAGACTATAGAGACTAATGTTTTAAATGAAAAGAAACTCGAAAGACCAAAACCTATGGTTTGAAATTTGAGGGACCAATACGTATGACTTGAAATTTGAGGGACCAAAACTAAAATTAGAACAAACTTGAAGAACTAAAGTCTATATTAGCCACTAAAAACTATATATATATATATATATATCATCATCGTCATCAAATCCCAGTTAAATCCACACGTTTTGTTTAAGCCAGGGGTAATTCCCACGGCTAGCCACCCTTCAATCACAGTTGCTTTCCCCAAAACTGCACTCACCACGCCAAACCCCAAAAAGGCCAGGCTTACCACACCCTTCACCGCCACCAACCTCACCTTGTGCTCTTTTATAAACGCTGCCCCGAGAAGTGTAAAATGATAGGTCTCTTTTGATAACATGGGTGAATTATATATGTGTGTGTGAGTTTTAAGTTCCAGTGAAATTATATATATCAACCTTATATAGTTTAAAGAGGTATATATGTCATCTCAACATGACTACATATTTTAAAGACCTATATATCATCTCAACATGACTCAAAATAAGCCTTATAATTTAGTAACTTCTAAAGTAAATAAAAATTTAGACTACGATTCCATATGTTTATATGCATTTACGTATATTTATTTAAAAAAATAAAAAGGCAATATATATTGGTGTGCCTAAACTGTATGTTTACACTTTACACACGATTTTGTGAACGTCTTCTCTTGGAGCGTTGAAATGGATGTGAGGATGCATAAAGGGAGGACAAATTAAAGGAGATCGAATATATATATTCGTTGGAGGAAATAACAAAAGAGCGAAGGGCAAGATCGGAATTTTACACACAAATCCCACGTGAGCACTTACGACACATCCCTTCACTTCATCGAAGGAAATGAAAATCATCACCCTCTGGAATTATATACGGAAACGTCGCAAATGAGAATGGAATAATCTTTTAAGGAGCCAACCAAACACGCCACATCATGGATTCCAATTCCAATAACTCTCATTCCAAAATAATCACTAAACTTTTCTATAAGCAAATGTGACATGATGATCTGTTTCATTAGATTGTGGAATATTTTTTTGTGTATGTGAATCATAATGGGATAAGAATAAGAACACTGGGGTTTGACAGAATGAGATAAATATGTTTCGTATGCTATATACGAAAGGGAATGAACCAAAAACAACATAAAAGAAAAATTTATCAAAATAATTATTATATTTTTAATTATAAAAAAAATATGTATGGATAATAAAGCAAACTAACACCTGGCGTGTTCAAGAGGTTATAACTACCATAACAGTTCATTTGAATCAGGATTTTTGCTCCAGAGAATTCAGATTCTCTCAATATTAACAAAAACATATTACTCCTCTGATCCTAAATATAAGACCCATTTTGTAGTGTAAATCATTTTATAGTGTAATTTACACTATAAAATGGGTCTTATATTTAGGATAGGAGGTAGTATTTTTTATATATGCCAAAGATTTTTGTACTTGTCCTGTTACCCAAACATTTTCAATTACTACAATCAGGATCACTTCACCTTCAGACTTTTATTATTCTATTCATTTTTGTACTTGACACCGGCCTGTTTCCTTAATTTGGTGCTATGTACTACCTCCGGTCTTAATTATAAGAGATAGTTGACTAATTTGAGGAGATTAAAGAAAGAAGCTAAGTTAGTTATTTGTAACAAATAGGTGTTATCCTTCCTCAAATATCCTTACTAATCAAGTGTATTGGTTAGAATTACCATTGTTAGAAGGATTAATTTGGCAAAAAAATACATAAATATGAGAGACAAAGTGAATTTGGGTCTTATATTTAGAACCAAAATAAAAGTTAAACAAGGTTTTATATTAAGGACAGGAGGTAGTATAACATAAATCTTATAAACTCTCATTTTATTTAATATTATTTTGCCCTTTGTAAAAAATATAATGCTTATAATTTCATCTTCACAAAATAGGCACATCAAATTTAGTAGTACACCCTGAGTTCGTGCTGTATATTACATTGAAAAAATAACTGAATATAGCTTAAGATAATTTACAATTTCACGGGTACTGAATGGATAGAGTTCATATCAAAACTGAAATGTACTAATACTCCTCTGGTACTTAATATAGGATCTAATTGTTAAGTTAATTTTAGTCCTAAATATGATACCTATTTCTCATATTTATCAGTTTTTCCTAAATTACTCATATTGATACTTTCTCAAGCATAATCAAGTAAAAGAAGAAGGAAGGATATTAAGAAAAATGATTCTGGTGTTTTAGGAAAAACATGTCATATTTTTTATAATTAACTAACTTACCTAACTTTTTTAATCTAATCAAATTAGTTAAATAGATCTTATATTAAGGACCGGAGGAGTACTACATAAATATCGGTATTATTTTTTGGGTGTGCCCAACTGTGAGCTTTTCGAAAAACATTTATGTTAGTAATGATAAGTCTTAGTGCTCGTTTGGGTTAGTTTATTTAAGTGTTTATAAACATGTTTTACATAAATTGAAATAAAACTCCTCTCACATACTCGTATCATATTTCATAAATCATGATTAAAAAATACTTATAAGTTATTCCAAACAAGCTTTTAATCCCCTTGAATAATGCAGCGCCTGTCTTGTGAGGGGCCCAAACATTGATGGTAATTAAATGTATTTTCTGCTCATGTCATTACTCGTATACATTTCGGTTGGATTATTTAAATTATTGAACTCATCAATTTTTATTTTAATATTTTCAATTATTTTCCTCCTGTAGGATCCTGAGAGAATTTAGGGTGAAACTTTTACTTTGGTCTCACTATCGCTTAGTTTTATTTATTCCTCCTTTTTGTAGTGCTCACTTTATATTCAAACTTACGTGTCTTCTACCTTATGATTTTCCTTTTTAAAACATGAGAATAGTTGCAGATTCAATTATTGATAATAATCTCTCTTTAAGTAATTGCAAAATTAATAATAAATTTTTTTTGTTTTTAACCACCACCATCAAAATCTGTATGTTGAATAATCTAATTAGTAAAAATGTCAATTCATTACCTCTAAAATTTTAAAATTTTTTTCCAGAGCTATCCATAGATTCATTTGATAAAGGAGCTTTCTATTAACGGATAATGATTAAATGCGATGTTTTAAGAAAATAACACCCATTTGATATAAATAGCTGACTTATTAACTAATTATTTTAATATTTATAAATTAGTTATCTAACTTCTAGATTTAAAATCAAAGGAGTATACGAAAAATGTTTAAATTATATACCACTGTCAATATTGCGCTTCTAGCTGTCTAATAAGCTACCGTCGTGTGGACATACTTATCGCAATATTCTACAAATAAGTACGTACCAACATAGATATGTATAGACCTAAATCATCTAATTACTTTGTGAAAAGGCATATTAATTATTCTATATCTATCTTCTCTTTCGTGTTTGCCTTTGTCTTCAAAAACTGAAAGTTCCAGACCACAGAGATGATCAAACACCAATGGAATCCACAGACTTTGTTAGGCCAAAAGTGATTCCCATGGCGAGCCACCCTCCAATCAAAACCCTACAAGACGACTTCACCACCGGAGCCTTCCCCAACACAGCACTCAACACTCCGAACCCCAGCAAGGCCAGGCTCACCACACCCCCCACAACCACCAACCTGACCCTGTACTCTTTTACAAACGCCGCCCCAAGCAGCGGCACCACCGCGCCCACGGCAAACGCAACTGCCGAGGCAGCCGCCGCATAAAATGGATTCGGTAACTTTGCTTTGTTCACCTCTTTTCCTTCTCTCTTCAACTGAGCTACCTCCATATCATACTGCGAGTACACTGACACAAATTCCCCGATCGCCATACTACACGCTCCGGCAAACAGACCTGCAACTCCGGTGAGGATCATTGTCTTGACGTCCTTCCGAACAGCTCCGACTCCCATCATGAGAGACGCAGTGGAGAGCAAGCCGTCGTTGGCTCCGAGAACGGCAGCTCGAAGCCACTGGGCTCTTTGGGTGTAGTCAACGACGTCGTTTTCATGTTGCAGATGATCATCTTCAAGGTTTCTATGAGGTGCTTCAATGTCGGAAATGGCGTCTTTTGAAGTGTTCGGAGAAGAGGATGGAGCGATTTGGCAGAGCTTATTATGATCGGCCATAATCAAAGGATGGTAATGTTTTTTTTTTTTTTAAAATAATAATAAGGAAGAAATTGAGTGAGTGAGTGAGGTTTTTGAAGAAGAGAGAGTGCGTGGGGGACACACGCCACCATAAGAAGCTACTTATAGACATGGAAAGAAACTGACTAACTGAGGGATTTATGTGGAAATTGAACAAAAGAAAGGGGTAGTAATGGTAGACGCGGAAGAATATCATTTATTCTTACCCATTCGGAAGGATATAAAAGAATTTAGTTCGTCCATAGCAGTTAATTTTTGTGCCTTTTATATACTAAAGTTTTCCATTTTTTATTTTTAAATAATTTATGTGCCACCTCATCTGAGTCTTCGATAACCGAAAGGAAAATTCCCGCGGTTTTTACGTCCCTGAACTGGGCGTGTCCCCCGTGTCCGTGTGCGTGTTTGGACTTTGGATTTTCCTAATTATATAATATTCGGTCTTGTATATATTAGCAAGTAGCAACAACTAATTAAATTGTGTAAATTAAAATATTAGTTAAAAATAATATATGTGTTAGAACTGCGATTTATTTTTTAAATATACTGAGTGAGAGAAAATGTGTGATAACTGATAAGTACTACTCTTTCTTGTCCTTATTATATGGACCCTACATTTTAATAATTTCAATGAGTATTAAGTATTTTTTTCCCATGAGAATAGTAAGATTAATAAGAGTAATATTGAAAATAACTTGAATTTCATGACAAATTTATTGTTTTTAACTAATTTTGTTAGTATGTGTGAATTAATTAGTGGGTTCTTATAATAAAAATTAAAGACGGTATAAAGAAGTATATTTCATGGGGATAAAAATAAAAAGAGTACATTACACTTCAGACCAAGAAAAGTTGCTTGTATATAAGACCGGCACTAAATGGATATGATCATGTGAACAGAATATTCGACAAATGTCTTTTTTTTTGGTCGGTATTCTTTTGCTTTTTTTCGCTTTCACCTTTTTAATTTTTAAAAAGGAAAGCAATATTTTTAATGAAACTAAATTTTGACGTACTAAAGATGTGTGAATGGCGGAAACGTGTTCTCCCGTGATTAAAGATCCTGTTCAATTTGAGTCGGTGAAAAGAATTCTTATTCTCTTCTTTTTAATAGCATTTAGTATATTTGTCATAATTACAATCTAATATTTTTATTAATTTCTTTTCAAAACGAGAACACAAAGTATTATTATTCTTAAATTTTAAAGTCATTTCTATTTTATTTTGACACCAAATAAACTAGATTACCGATGCGTGTATATATAAAATTAAATTGACTTATAAGAGAAGTCAAGGAGAATTGCTAAAAAAGATAACTTGATCAATTTCCTTTTTGAAAATTATATGGATCTACATACGTTTGTAATAATACACTATACGCATGCGTGCGTACACATATAAGCATACACATAAAAAATTATATTATGAGAAAATGGCAAAAAAAAAAGACCTCCAAAATAAAAAATTGTAAATAAGGACTCATGAAATAACAATAATATGGGTTTTCACAACAATTTTAATAAATTGGTCCTTGTGTGTAATTTTTTTTATTTTTGAGTCTTTTTTTTTTTTTGCTATTTTTCCTTATATTATTGCCCCTATCATTTTGATTATATTATTTTTCAAGCCAACAATTTTCTTACCAAGTAATTCTCTACATATTTGATGTATCTATCATGTATTTTTATTGCACAGTTATTTATCTACTTTACATACCACATATTTTTATATTTTATTTTTTACTTGGCATAACTGAATATTTCTCAATATTTTTTCTTCAAATATCACCTTCTTGATCTCCTCTTGCGCTTATCCCCCCTCTTTTTCTTCCACATGTATTTAGGTTAAGAGTTAGCTTTGATACTACTAATAATAACCACATAGTTGAAAAAGGTTTTTTCACTTTGAATATCATTAAAAATTGGACTTGGTTGAATGGTTGTTTAATTTAATGATTTATCCAAATTAAAGAGAAATTTTATGGTCTTAAAAACTACAAGATCATATTTAAGTACGTTAATTATTGATTCCGATTGTGTGTGTAGTTCTCTCGATATGATTTTTCAATTCTATTGAAAATGATAAAATAAATATATGAAAAGTTATTGAGAACAATAAAATATATAACAAATTATACTCCTCCGGTCTTTAATATAAAACCTATTTAATTAATTTGATTAGATTAAGGATGTTAGGTAAATTAGTTAATTATAAGAAATATGACATGTTTTTCTTAAAACACCATAATCATCTTTCTTAATATTCCCCATTCTTTTTTTACTTAATTATGGTCAAGAGAGTATTTATAAGGGTAATTTAGAAAAAATTAACAAATATGAGAAATAGGCTTTATATTTAGGATCAAAATTAATTCAATAATTAGATCCTATATCAAGAACCAGAGGAGTATTATAACATTGTGTTTGTTGCCCAATGCCCCCACATAAAATTTTTAGATCTCCCACTAAGCATAAATATTATCCCCCCGGGCCCAAATTGCTCCAAGGTGTTCTCTCTTTCTTACTCGCAACATGATTATCGTTGTTGTTTCTAGATTTTTATTGTTTTGTGTGGATATTGCTACCCTTAAAAGGATTGCAGAAAATAACTGTATTTTTTTTTTCTTAACCACTATCTGACACTAAATATAGACATGTATTTCCCAGTAAGAATTCAAATACTAGTTTGCCATATTGTAAGCAGTATTAGTTCTGTACATTTGACTATTTAAGCCCCGTGGCGTGGTCCAACCTTGCTGGATCCGAGGCCTGTGTAAGAAGCCAGAAATAATATGGATGGGTCCCATGCAAACATAATTGTTTAGCCTAGTTGGTTTTTGGACCCAACTCAACGGGCCCTTAAGGTCTTATATCTGGGAAAGTGGCTGAAATGCTTGAGATTGACCAAAAGGACAACGCATTTGAGAGAACTGCATGGGCAAGTTACCACCACCACAAACAATATTTCCACACACACACACACACATAACATGGTTCCCAGTCTCCTCCCTTTACAATCTTGTTTGTGACATAACATGGCTCCGCCTGAAGCATTTTCCAGTGATGTAATGTTTACCGTGAAGCGGCACCAACCAGAACCGGTGGTCCGGCGAAGCCTACCGCTAGTGAATTAAAACTGCTCTCCGACATATATAGACGACGACCAAGATGGTTTACGATTCCAGATACCAGTGATAAACTTTTACGGTCACAAAGCTTCCATGAAAGGGGAGGGGCCAGCTCAAGTGATAAAGAACGCACTGGTTCAGGCTCGTGCGTGAGAGAGAGACTCTTTGATTTGATTATTTCAGTGGTGCTTTTTTTCCCTCTTGAGAAGTAAATTTGAATATTACCTCCCTTCCTAATTATAAAACCTGGTTTATATATTACAAATCGGATTCTATAATTAGTACGGGAGGTAGTAGCTATATTGTTGTAGTCAATTACTAAATAATTATTGTAAATAACCTAAAATAAAGGCCTGTTACATCTCTTTAAATAACTAAGAAATTTGTAGGAAGTTGTTGTTATATTGGTAAACGATTAAACGATTATTGTGAAGAGCTTAATTGGGGCTAGTCAATTGCTACATACTACTATCATTGCTTAATATAAGAGTTAATTACATATTAAATTAATTGGCCTCAAATATAAGACCTCTCCCTAATATTTATTTATTTTGCCCTCCAAATAATACTTATGGTGATTACATATATGTTAAGGAGACTGGATGATTTCAATTTACATGATTGATAAGGATATTTTAGGAAATATAATATCTATTTATTATAAATAATTAACTTAACTAAATTTCTTAATATTCATAAATTAGTTATCTAATTCTTATACTACCTCTAGTCCTTAATATATTTTGATCCTAAATATAAGATCCTAATTCATTTTGTCTTTCATATTTATTTATTTTTTTTTCCAAGATAGTCTTTCTAATAATGGTAGTTCTAGTCAATAACTTGGATTAGCAAGAATACTTTAAAAAAGACAACACCTATTTATTATCAATAACTAACTTAACATATTTTTTTAATTTACTTAATTAATTAACTAGTTCTTATATTTATGATCGGAAATAGTACAAGAGATAGTAACTGTTAGAAATAACTTGTCGGGGTTTGGTCAAGTATGATAGTGTCTTGTATATCATTTTGGACCATTTTACTAACATGGTTTAGAGAAAATGGCCCAAGGAAAAAAAAAGAAAAGAGAAAGCCAGATTCATATAGCGGATTTCATTTGATCGATTTTACCTAATATTGACTTAAATGGGAATCTTTTATTCTTTAATTTCCTTTGCAAGAACAATAATTTAACCCACGGTTGCACATGTTATAGGTTACCCGCCTCAAGTGTGGTGGATCCATCATGGCCTACCGCCTAAATCACACTATGAGCGACGGTGCTGGTATTGTCCAATTCCTAAATGCCGTGGCGGAGATCGCCGGAAGTGCAAGTAAGCCATCCATTGCTCCGGTATGGCGGAAAGAGCTATCAGCAAGAGACCCACCTCAAATTACTTGCATGCGTCGTGAGTACGAGCAAGTCCCCAGTAATAATGATCCAATACACAGGAAAGCATCATTCACCAAAGTTTCTTCTTTGGACCCAACAAGCTAGAAGCGATCTGTCAAATGTTTTCCCATTATAATAATGGTCAACGCACTACTAGGTTTGAATCTCTTACGGCTTTCCTCCAGCGTTGCCGTACTAAAACATTGCAGTTACAACCCAAGCAGGAGGTTCGCTTTATGTGACTCAATAACGTAAGGGACAAATCAAAGTCTCCATTAGTGCCAATTGATTATTATGGCAGTGCTTTTTATACCCAACCGCAGTAACAACGGCAGGGAAGCTCTGTGAAAACCCATTAGTGTATGCCTTAGAATTGGTGAAGAAGGCCAAAGCTGAGGCAACGGTGGAGTATACACAATCTGTGGCTGATCTTATGGTCACTAAAGGAAGACCCTGCTTCACTAAGGCTGGAACATGGATTGTGTCGAGTGCTTCGCGTTTCGGGTTTAGAGATGTGGATATTGGGTGGGGAAAAACGGTGTACGGTGGCCCGGCAACGGCCGGAGCTGGTCCCTTTTCCAGGGTAAGCTATTATGTTTCATATCAAAATGCAAAAGGAGAAGGTATTGTTGTTCCATACTACTTGCCGCTCAATGCTATGACAAGGTTCGTTCAAGATATCATGCAAAAATAATCCAGCGTTGCTTGTAGCTACTATCTTATACTACCTCCGATCTTAAATATAAGAGTTAGTTAACTAATTTATAGAGATTAAAGAAATAAGTTAAGTTAGTTAGTTGTAATAAATAAATATTGTTTTTCTTAAAATATCCTTACTAATCAAGCATATTGGATAGAACTACCATTAGAAGGACTATCTTAAGAAAAAAAAATATAAATATAAAAGACAAAGTAGATTGAGGTTTTATGTTTAAAACTAAAATAAAAATAAATAAAGTCTTATATTAAAATCAAAAGTAGTATATAATTATCCTTGGTTTGGTTATATAGATCCCTTTCGTGTTGTTGTCTGTCTTTCTTTGTGCTATAGTCAGTTAAGATCTTATCTTACTTGGATAAAATTAAGGGTGCGAACCGTTTAAAAGGATGCTCGGTCATGATCATGCAAAAACGCGCTGTACGACTCTCTAAAACATTCATTGTCTCATTCTACTGCTCCTGTTATTAAGATAAGACATAATTTAAAAGTTGATATTAGTACTATACTACTTCCGGTCTTTAATATAAAACATCGTTTAACTTTTATTTTGATTCTAAATATAAGATCCCAATCTATTTTATCTATCATATTTATGTATTTTTTTTTTCTAGAATTGTCATTCTTATAATAGTGGTTCTAACTAATACATTTGATTAGTAAGAATATTTTAGGAAAGACAACACTTATTTATTACAAATAATTAATTTAACTTATTTTCTTAATCTTTTCAAATTAGTCAATTAGCTCTTATAATTAGGACCAGAGATAGTATGTAAGATTTATTTCATGTTTATCAATTTTTTTTCTAAATTAACTCTATTAATATTCTCTAAACAACAATCAAGTAGGAGAATGAGGGAAGAAATCAAGAAAGATAATTAGGGTATTTTAGAAAGAATATATTATATTAACTAATTTAACTAACATATTTAACTTACTCAAATTAGTTAATTAGGTCTTATATTAAGAACCGGAAGAGTATTTGTCTTTATTTTCAACAGTTACACTATCCCATAGAGCTCTTACAATGTAAATTGTTTTTCTTCCCTCAGAAATAAGGCTGTGCGGTTGCTTAATTTTAATGAATACTACTTTCTGTTCTAAATATAACAGTTAGTTAGTAACCCTAAATATAATACCTCAATCTACTTTGTCTTTCAAATTTATAATGTGTTCTTAAAAATATCTCTATTGACTATAAGTATTTCTATACAAGTATAGTTTCAATGTACATGATTAAATATGGGGAATTCAAGGAAGTTAACATATATTTGTTACAAATAACTAGTTAAAATAAATTTTTTAATCTCTCTAAATTAATTATCTAACTCTTAATATTAATGACCGGAGGTAATATAATATAATCTACATGAAACAGAGGAATCATCAACAGGCTGTTATGGCTCATGAAGTTAGCAAAGCAGCAGTTTCAATAGCAACTACTACCTCCGATTCTTAATATAAAACCCAGATAATTAATCTAAAAAGATTACTACTAATACGCAAGTATTTTATTCTGTCCTTAGCATGTGATTCCTCCAGTAATTGTGCTTAACCCTAACCCGTCTGGAGTTAAGGAACCATCTTTCCTCCTCTACCTTTACCTTCCTCTTCCCCTCCTCTCCCAAAAACTACACCGTTTTAGGTAAAAATGGAGAATGACTTCTCCTCTTTTAAAACCAATATCCATTATTCTGAAGTCTTTTTCGGTAATATCTAGTATCCTAAAATAATTTTTAGTGTATTTAATACCTTAAAATATTTTTTCAATAGCACCTAATTTCTAGTAAGTTGAACCTACAGTATTTTTTCAGTAACGCACGGTATTCTAAGCTAATTTTGGTATTGGATGTTATTATTAGAAAAATAATATAGGGTACTGAATGCATTTAAAAATAATATCTTGCTAGATACTGAGCACTACTGAAAAATGTGTTTAAATGGCACATATACTAAAAATTATTTTAGAATATTGTATGCTACTGAAAAATACTTCACACTTAAAAATGTTGATTTGGAAAAAAAAAAAAAGAAAAGAAAAAGGGAATCAGCCACCATTTTTACACCCAAAACGGTGTAGTTTTGGGTAGAGAACGGGAAGAGTATGGTAAGGGGAGAGGAGGAAAGCCGGGCCTTCGAAATAACTTGTGATACGGGAAGTATGATAAGAAACATCCCATAAAGAAGTAAAGAAAACGTACGGCACAACATATATAAAAGCTAATGTTGTAGGAGGCAGGTTAGAATTAATGCATTGAGATCGGCACACTTCTTCCAAATTAACCTTTTGTTTTTTGTTATGCAAGAGGGCAAGGCCCAAAAAAAAAAAGTAAACTAAGTAGGTGGGGATCTAGATCCCAAACACCCTTCAGAAACCAACGCCCTCAGAGGAGAAGGACACGAAGCCAAAAAAATAGTTTTGAATAACCCATCCTTTGCAAGAAAGCCTGCTACTCGGTTTTGCTGTCTGGGAATGTGCTTGATCATTTTCACCTCCCAATGAAGCTTTAGCATATTCATAATCTGAATGATCAAGAAACTGTAGATGGACTTGTTCCTATCTCCAACAATTATGCCTACCACATTTTTTGAATCAGATTCAAGAAGTATCTTTTTAAACCCATATCCCAAGCTAATTTGAGACCTTTATACACAGTTCATTCGTTTAACTCAAGAACGCTGCGCATACCAAGGGCTTGTGAACATTCCCTACAGTACGAATTTCATTTATCTTTCCAAGTCCGCATAATAGTGGATGCAGGATTTGCTGATTTCACAAAATCATCCATAGAAATTGTAGTATTCCGCCATAGCCAAAGTTTCCAGCAAGCAACTCCCCAGATAAGATTCCATCTTGAAGACAAATGTCTTCCTAATTCCTTTTTAAGATTCAAGTTCGTCCATTCTCTCAAAGACACAGCAAAGGAGGCATTATGAAATTTAGAATCCACGAGTTGTAACCACACCTGTGTAGCATACAGCATACTGGCAATCCCAAAGCACATGCAAGATATCCTCAACCTCTAAGTTACAAGAATGACACAAAGGGGATGTAGCAGACCAATGCGCCTAGCAGACCAAATTAACGTGTTTGAAAAAGCTAATACCTGCTTGTGCTGATTTTTTTTTGGTTATAACAAAGTTTAGGTAAATTAGGTTTTGGGGGCTTACCAATGCCAAGACATGTTTCTAAACTCAAAGAGTACACTTATAGAAGTACTTACAGATTACTCACAAACAAAATTTTCATATTGGTAATGGGATTCAAACTTATGACCTTATAAATTATGAACCTATCGACTTTTTATCAACCGAACCAACTCTTGCTTTTTTCACATGACCAATTATTCCACATGAGTGGATCGAAATGCAGAAAAGTTGGGTTTGGCCCAAACATATTTCTAAAACTAGTTCTTGACAACATGGTACATGTTTGAATTTCTATTGAAAGATATACCCATTGCCTCTAACAGGATAATACTTGTGCTTAGTGGGGAAAAAAATCAAAATGAGAAATCAGCCCATAAATATCAAAATGTAGTTAAAAGTCTTAACTCTTAAGATCATCAAATCATCAATCCATCAAAAGATATGCGTATATATATATATATGTCTTAAATTCTAAGTGATTTGATTGGTAGCATAATTCACTCTCATGAGCTAAATATGAGATGAATTTAAGTGATTTTAAGTAATTTTGTATTATATGAGCTAAATGCCTGAATATGTGTAGTGAATTTTGCCTCGTTAAACATAAAAGTCCCAAACAAATTCTTAAATAATGGTGATCACACACGGCGAGGGCATCCTTAAATAGCTGATAGGGGTTTGCTGGCTTCTGCACAGCCACACAAATTAATGTCTCTACAAAGTCTTTTAAATACTAAATAAAATTTTTTTCATATACTTATTTCATGCTTTATAAATCACGAATGAAAAGTTATTTATAAATAATTTCAAATGAATCCTAAATTGTCTTGAGTTCACACTCTTGCATGTAGTGTAAAATCGTGTAAGTAGCTATCTCTCACTTTCCTTTTCACGCACCGGGGTATTAAACAAAATCCTTTTACAGTAATTGAAAAAGATTTTCTGCCTAAGTTGCATTTAACTAGTGCGAAGAGGTGAAGGAAAAATCTATCCAAAAAAAAACAGAGAGTTGAAGGGAGTAAAAACTTGTAACCAACGTAGCAAACATGACTTTAATGCTTGTTTTGTTATTATCTAAATAAAAGTATATTTTTTATACCGATTAAAGTCACAGCCAGTGCAAGAAATAGGAATTTTATACAATTACTGTTATAAAGTTTGTGTGTGTGTGTGTGTGTTTTTTTATTTATAAATATTCTCTTTTGTTCATTCCATAACCCTCTGTTTACACTTGAAACAAATACAATCAACAAATTATAACACAACAAATGCAGCCAACCAGTAATCAAACAACCTAATAAAATCACAAGTTATAATTAGTGTGCAATAATCCAATTAAGAACTACACAATTTATATGTCAATTCCAATCTAATTAAACCACAAAAGTCTTGATTCCATATATAGTGCCATCCACACAAAATAAGGAGTATCTGTGAATAATAATAATCGAAACCTGGACGGGATGAAACCATGCAGGTGTGAAAGGACCACATATTTTAAACATTGAACAATCCACGTAACTGTACGTACGTTGAAATACTTAATAGGAAAACGACACTAAGATTCTATGTAACACAAAATACTACAAAAAGGTCCTAAAAAATTTGGTAATGATTCTGAAGTCTCAAAGGGACTTGAATGCAATTTGTTGAATTGTGAAAAGACGCCTTTGTCCCTAGTGATATGCACCCACAGTTACTGAAAGTTGCCCTGTTTTTTAACAACTGATAGTGCCACGAGTGACAAGTGACGAAAAATATATTGACAATGAAGGGTGGGGATAATGATATTATGTATCAGAATGTAATACACAACCAACTTTCATTTACAACTTCATATATATGTAATTACACCACTTTCATAACCCACTAAAAAAAATAGACAATTGCATGTATTCAGTATCAAACTAACTATTTGAGTGTATTGTGACATTTACCAAAAAAAAAATTCATGTCATTTTTATTTACAAAAAAAATCTTTTACCATCATTTGTCTATGTTTAAAGTGGCTTTTATTTTTGCCACTTTTTTCTTTTAGCTCATGTGACTGCTCACCCTTTTTCATTGCCTATTTTTCCTCTTTTTGTAACCTCTACCAATGAGTTAAGGGCATAGGAAGTTGTGATGACTGTTCTTTCAAAACCCATTTATATTAAATCAAACAATTTATTTGAAAGACTAACCATAATAAAAAAAACAAGAAATCTTAAAATTTTAAAATCACTATCATGTTTAAAAGAAATAAACTTATATCATGATTATTAACTTGGGTTTTGGACTTCCAAAGTCCAAAAATACCATTCAACTGTTAGCTCAAACAAAACTCATACTTTCAAACATATGAACTGATAAATTATTTTAATATAAGCTTTAAAGTTCATTAGTCAAAAGTCAACACTTTAAAAGAGTGTCACTTGCAAAGTTTTAGAGGTATCTGGCCTTTTAACGGCCTTCTCATATCATATAGTAGTAATTAAAAGTATTAGTTTATAATATTAGAATAGATAAGCCATATGTGGCAATATATAATAAATCAGCACATAGAACAAAAGTAGGGAGTCTATACATGCTATAACAGTACAATATGCCTCTGGAACTTTTCCTAATGGGCCACCACCTAAATCACCTGAAGATAGTAGTAACCATGAGATGAGACAAGCGCCTCAGTAACCAGCTTTCTAACTTATTATACATACTAACATATGCTCATGAGGTGTCAAGTGGGACAATTATTAAATCTCAATAAATATAGATATATCAATGGAAATATAAAATATGTATATTTAGATAATTTTAATCATCCAAACCCTTATTATGGGGCTAACGCACAAGTCCACATAAGTCTATCTCTCACTATAGAGGATCAATCAGACATATAAGCCTATTCCACACTTTGGGGGAAGAATAAGAAGTCTTAAAGGTCTATCCCTCACTTTAGGGATAAAGGAAGCTGATGTGCACCATGTGGTAGAATAGAGCTCGATCCAATATCCAAATAACAACCAATCATTCATAATATAATAAAAAATGTCTCAATCTTTTCTTGGTATAATCTATAAGATATAAATTATATATTTTTTCAATTTCTCAATCACAATTTCAAAAATCCCACAAGACAATTTTCATAACTCAAAAGTTATAGCATATCTACTTGAATTCCAAATAACACATCATTATTCTAAAATAGTAAAATACTTACAAACAATATATTAGCACATATAACAAGTGAAAAATAGTTACCTCTCATCAAAGTAATAGCTTTAAGAATTACCACAAGGTCAATCTTTTGCTCAACTAATAATTAATCTA